TCAACACTCAGCAGTATCCGAAGGTTAACAAAATCCGATACCAGTGTTATATATCCAAAAGACCAGTGCCCAGCTAAGAGTCGATCATTGGAAGATCAAAATGGATGGGGAAGGGGTAAACGAAACATTAATCTGCGACTTTTGGTTTGTAGTTCCATGAAAGGCTCTTGATCGGTGGTCAAACCGATCGGCATTCTAATTTGCATTTATGATAATAAATCCATTAATCCGCTCCCAGATACCGTGAGAATCAACCGACTGCCTCTTCATGCGCGTATAAGACACTACTCACAAATGTGAGTAGCACCTAATGATACTGGTATGTTGCATATCAATTACTATTCTAGGATATTACATATTTTACACCTGTCCTGATCCAAAAGGAGTAAAAAAATTGACTAATCATCTTTATGACAAAGAAATTATTACCTGGTTTGTTGGTTGGCGTAATACTACCAAGACACCTTAGCCGGAGCGGGTGATTTTCATAGGGATCTGTATCCAAGGTCCTTGTTGGCTAAAGCCTTCAGGATGCTCAATTAACCCTATGAACCAATCGAGCCAGCTCCACCGAGATCAGCCCATGGCTCATCGACGCGACTTCAGATCCGAACTGCTACAATGTTTCCGAGGCAGTCAGTGATGAACGATGAGGAATTCAATTTTTTTAAGACTTTTTTCCGTCTTTGCGTATTCCTGCAAATATTAATTAGATCAAACTAGTTTTCACTAAATATCATCGCGATTTGTATCGTTGTACATTATCAAAATTCAGTAAATAGCGACAATTTTTTTAAATTTCAGTATTTGCATTAAAAGCTCGTAATAGCAGTACCCGTCCATCAAACTCAAATACAAGCACAAACAAAAAATAATTTCATACTGCATTGGTTGTCGAGCAGGATAATCAGGGCCGCGCTGCCCATTACATCGAGCGGGGTGGGTGGTGATAAGTGGGCTACTGCTCAGATATCCCAACCTTTGTTTAACTCTGTCTTTCTTTCCCAACCTTCTCCCTTTACCCCTTCTTCCGACCTGTATTAGTCCCTCAAGCAACTTGGATGTCGCTCGCCAAAGGTCATTGCTAAATAGCGCTGTAAGTGATTTACCACAAAATGGATTGCAGATTCTAAAGCCTCGTCAATCACTTAATCTGGGGCCTTCAACGTGAGGACTCTGATGCAGCTAGGTCAACAAGCCTGTCTGGCTCGTACAATGGAATACTTAGGAATCGATATTTGCTGTGTCGGAAACTCGAATCTACTACTCTAAGCCACTTGAACGCGGCAGATTTGTCTTCGAGAAACGTTCTTTACACATCAGACGACGATGAAGCTCGTTCAGTAGGTCAGCGCGGGGTAGGTATTGTACTCAGTAACAGGGCGGAGTCCTCTCTTATCGATTGGATCCTCGTCAACAGTCGTTTATGTGCAGTGCGTCTCCAGGGTTCAATCAGCGTCCGGAAGGGAAGCAACTCCGAAAGGTATTTGTTCATCGTATTAGCATATGCACCGACCAATTGCAGTTCTGATGCCCAAAAGGGCGCTTTCTAAGATAAACTCACCGATCTCATTCGGATGAGTCGAAGCTCCGACATAGTTGTACTTGCAGGTGACTTCAACGCGCATGTTGGAAAACTGAGCGCATCAGAAGCTTGCCTAGGCGGTCACTGTGCTCTGCCCTGCCAAAGAACAGATAACGGCGATCGACTTCTTCAGTTCTGCGCAGACTATCATCTGTTCCTATCAAGCACCAACTTCTGACACGCTCTCGGCGGACGGCAACGTGGAGCTCCAGTTCAACTGGTACGCTAACTCAAATCGACCACATAGCAGTAAGTCAGTGTTGGCATGGCTCAGTGCAAAATTGCAGGTCCTATTGGGCCACCTGCGTTGAGTCTGACCACGTATTAGTTTTGATGCAGTTCACTCTCTGATTGACTGGTCGGCGGCAAAACCAGCAAGCTCGGATAGCTCATCAACGACTCAAGAAGGATCATGAGAACTGGTGGGCAACAATAGCTAGTGAAATGGAAGTAGCAGCTGCATCAGGAAATAGTCAAAGACTTCCGACTGATATGCATTACGGGAGGTCGGCGAACTCCAGTTAGTGAAACAGTCTGCGATAAGAGGG